CACCGGGAAATGGCCACTCAACTGTTTATCGGCACCAAAAGTGTGTGAGCTCGTTTGGAAAAAGGAAGTATCCAATAGGACAGCAGAGCGGCTTTTGTTTTTCTCATTTTTGTTTCTGTTTGGGTTCACTCGTTTGTAGTTTGAGGTGGACTTGGTCACGCCTCGCACACGCTGCTCAATGTGTGGGATTTTAGGGACTGTGCATCTGTGGAAATCTGAGTTTTATGAGTTGGTTTTGTTTATTTTTATCTCTATGACTCTATCTTTGACTCTCTCTGGCTCTCCCTCTCTCTCTCTCTCTCTCTCTCTCTGATGACGCTTTCAATAAAAAAATGTGGAAAAATCAAGAGGAATGTCTTTCTCTGACTGTTGTGTGACTGTCTCCATCTTGTCTTCTTCTTCCACACTTCCTCAAACTCAAAGGTATAAAGGAGGATTTTCCCAATGTTTATGGAAGAACAGCCCTCCTCACAGCGAACGCCAGCATTAGCATTAGCACCAGAATGATTGACAGTTGGACCAATCGTCCAGGGGTGTCCAAACATTTTAGTAAGAGCACTTTAGTTCAGCAGACTAGTCCAGGGGCCGACATCATGTTTGTGACATAATCAAAAACCACATCAGTGCAGTCTATAAAAATAAAGTAAACTTCCAGAATTCCAGACGGACTGAGCTCTAGAACAATCTGGGATTTGACCCATAGTGTCTGGTTCTGGGTTGTTAGAACCATGGTTAATCCTACAGCTCAGGGGCCTACTGTTGTATTGTGTAATTGTTTCCTTGTATGTTTTCAACCAAATCGCTCCTCACGGATAATAAACATAACTTAGACCTTGGTCCTCTAAAACCTGAGTAAAAGCCACTTTGGATCAAGATGAAAGACTGAAATAAGACTGCAATTCAACCCTGTCCCGTCTGGAAAGCCAGATCCTGTCATACCTTTGATGCTAAGCAGGACAGGGTCTGGTTAGTCCTGTGATGGAAGACCTCTGGGTTCACCAGGTGCCACAGTGGGGCGGCTGTAAAGTGCTAAACTGTGGTTGCGTTCTTAGGCAAGACACCTTTTTATAAGTCTGGTGTGGCTACAGTAGTTTGTCACTGTTGTGAATGGATAATGATGTGAAGCGTCTTCAAGAGTCTAGAAACTGATTTATTGTTATTAATAATATTATCATGACTATTACTAACCCCCAGCATCATGTCCTTGTAGGAAAAAGCCTGATCACAAACTTGTAACTTAAAATTGTTTCAATACTGACCCAAATTCCCTCTGTCCTTTGGCAAAACACTTCCTCTCCTTTTCCTGAACTGTTTGAATCCTTGAGGAAGGTTTTGGGTTCTATGAGAGAAACATCACAGGGAAAGCTGTTATCTCTCAACGCGCCGACAAATGATCTCATCACCGCCTCCACCGCAGAAACCACTTATGACGGCGCTCAGAGGAGAACGGCACATGAGGATCCTTCAGCATCATTATCTACGGCTCCCCCGCAGCACCAGGAGGACGCCCCATTATTACCATACGGCCGAGAACACCTGCTGAGGCCTGACCATGGCCCCGCGCCTACTGCTCTAATTACAGGCTGCGTGTGCAAATTTACGGCTGCGTGTGCAAATTTACGGCTGCATATGCTAATCTAAGGCTACGTGTGCAAATTTAAGGCTGTGTATGCTAATCTAAGGCTGCATATGCAAATCTAAGGCTGTGTAAGCAAATCTAAGGCTGCGTGTGCTAATCTAAGGCTGCATATGCAAATCTAAGGCTGTGTATGCAAATCTAAGGCTGTGTATGCAAATCTAAGGCTGTGTAAGCAAATCTAAGGCTGTGTAAGCAAATCTAAGGCTGTGTATGCTAATCCAAGGCTGCGTATGCAAATCTAAGGCTGCGTATGCAAATCTAAGGCTGTGTATGCAAATCTAAGGCTGTGTATGCAAATCTAAGGCTGTGTATGCAAATCTAAGGCTGCGTATGCAAATCTAAGGCTGCGTATGCTAATCTAAGGCTGCGTAAGCAAATCTAAGGCTGCGTAAGCAAATCTAAGGCTGTGTATGCAAATCTAAGGCTGCGTATGCAAATCTAAGGCTGCGTATGCAAATCTAAGGCTGTGTATGCAAATCTAAGGCTGTGTATGCAAATCTAAGGCTGCGTATGCAAATCTAAGGCTGCGTATGCAAATCTAAGGCTGCGTGTGCAAATTTAAGGCTGCGTGTGCAAATTTAAGGCACATACCAGTGAACCTCCTGAATGACCATCGAGCAGAGCGGTGAGGGTTTATGTCGGTCTTAAGTGTAATGTTCAATGTAGAGCAGCCTGTGAGTCCAAGACACATTTCCCAAGGCACATAATAAACTAATCTCGAATCTTGAAGGCTGCGTGTGCAAATCTACGGCTGCGTGTGCAAATGTAATGCGCCTGGACGGGATCCTCAGGCGGCTGCGCTCCTGATTGTGCGTAAAGTGTTGATAATCAAAGATGGAGGACACGGAGCAAAGGGATCGATACTAATCAATCTTCCTTCTTCACTCTCATTTAGTCCTGATCCATCGCTGTCCTTGTCGCCTCCCGAGACGTCGATACCGCTCTGCACCGAAGCCAAGTGTGCAGCCATCAAAGCTCCAGGGCCACCGCCGAGACCAAGGACGGACTGGACCACTTTCCTGGTTTCTAGGCAGGTTTATCCGTATGGCACAGTTCATCTTAAAAATAGTCACAGTAAAATCCTCCTTCAAACTGTTTTTATTTTATCTTATTTGTTTTGGTCAAAGTTGCACTAAAACAGATTAAAAGTAGATTATTTTCTCTTTATGAAGGAGGTTATTTTTCCCGATGTCTGCACCTGTTTTATGAATTATCAAACTTTGGATTTACACCCTCGGTCCCAAAACCTCACAGTCCCAGAGATTATTGTTGAGGTTCAGTGTCGGTCTCATTCTGATCTTCAAAGACTCTGGACTCTCGTGTTTGACCTCGGGAAATCTCATTCAAGACAATTTAATTCATTCATTCATTTTCTACCCCTTTATTAGTCCATGTCTGATCCTGCGGCCGGTAAAGGGTTAAGTGTCTGGCCCAAGGACACAACGACAGCAGACATGGGTGGGAGCAGTTGGAGTAGGTCTCGGGGGAGATTAAACCCACAACCTTGAGGCTCAAGGCCAATGCTCAACCGACTGAGCTACTGTCGGCCTGAAAATTCAGTTCAATTCAATTCATTTTTGTATGGCCCTAAACCACAGCAGTCGTCTCGAAGGACTTCCCAAAGTTGCCGATTCGCCAACAGCAGATCAGAGAATCAAACAAACGCAGGAACCAAACTATTAAAAGAAACTTCCCACAAACACATTTTATCAAAGGTCCATTTACAGTTCTGTTCTGTGGAAATACAAGATTCACTGCAAATATGTGAAAAATATATAAAAACGTGAATAAAAACTTAAATCTCCTTTTTTTCCAGACAAAGACAAGATTTCTTTGTTAGAACGAGAAAAAAATGCTTCTGTCTCGACAAATCTTTAAAATATGCTCAAGAGACATTTTCTGACGTTTAAGTGATTTCTGTTATAACTTTAGCTACAATCAGTTTGAGGCTTAAGGTCATTTTACTCTGGAAGAAAATCCATGAAAAAAAGTAAAATACTGCTTAAAATAATAAAACTGATCTGTCATAGAAGAAGGAAATATGACTTAAGATTTCTGAAAATAATACCATAATACTTAAATAGTATTATTTGCTTATTCTTTAAAAAACAGCATCATAAACTTATTTTATCTGAACAAGAAAAGTCTGGAAATAAGAAAAATTACTTAAAATAAGCTAAAAAAAAAAAAAACTAAAATAAACTCACTGCTCAGACTTTTTCTCTAAGATTATGAATTATTATTATCTTAAAATTAGTAAAAATGATCTTATGACAAACTACATTCAAGCAACAAAAACTTGCCTTTAAAAAGATGAGCATAATTTATGTTATTTTTTGTAAATACATCAGGATTATACTTTCAGTGCACATTCTTTAGTGAAGAGTTGTGCTGCACGTTGTGTCCACGAGGGGGCAGCAGACTCCCACAGGTCCTGAGCACTGACGAGTGGAAACTTACATCATTTAAATACGTGTGGAGCCGAATATTAGGTTTTCAGACACGTTTAAAATATTAAAGTCACGTTTTAAGTAATAATGTGTGGGATCAGAATGTGTTTATTTCTCTTTATGTTCTAACCCTCTTCAAATAAGTGCCGTTTTTAAAGAAGGTCCTTTAATTTCAGTTTGATGCATACACACATACATAAACACATTATATATACTGTATATAACACACACACACACACACACAGGATTTGAGTGGCAGGTTTCAAAGTGGAAAAAAGGAGCAATTGGGACAGTGCAGGTTACATCATAGACTGGTCATTTTCAGACTTAGACTTTGTAAAATTAAAGATAATTTGGTCTGACCCTGCGGGAAACAAAATGAGTTGCTCCACACACGTTAAAATAAATGTATATTGGTTATTTGTAACTTGAGATAATTGACTCAGCACCTGCAGGAGGATCAGTGAGGGGCTGGTGCTCTGACTGACACCCCCCCGACCCAGAAATGGATTAAGGGGAAGAAAATGGATGAATGGAGGAAATTGTTAGCATAGAATGTCCAGTTTCTCCTACCACTAACATGTACTGGCCCCTCCATCTCTGTGTGGGGTCAGAGACTAAGGTAACAACTGTGAACCGCTTTGACTCTGGTCTGAGAAAGGCGCTATATAAATAAATACTTACTGACTTATCTGGCAACAACAGCTGATAGGACACGCGTCACACCATCACTGTCTCTGACGAAGGCGAAGCCTAAACATGTGGTTATTAAGCACAACTAGCTTCTTTATTTTGTCTTAATTGTGGCCACACACCACTGTCCAGCGTCCTCCTCCCCCCCCACACTCAAACAATTCATTCTCCATACTCCCCCCTCCCCCATTCAACATCCGTCCTCCACCCCCCGTCCTCTACACTCCAGCCTCCACCCACACCACCTGCCAAACACCACTGTCCAGCCCCCCCCCCCTCCCTCCACCCTCCTCGTGCCGTGTCTGAGCCCACTCTCTCCTTTCCCTGTGATGGATTATTGTGATTGTTGCAGGACTCGGACTCGGGGCCAGATCCGTTTGAATCTCACACTGACTCAGAACAATGGCGTCCCGGGCCGAGGGGGGGTCCAGGGCTCCCCAGGTGACACGGCTCACAGAATGGGACTTTCAGATAAGGCACAATAGGTGTGAATGGAGGACTTTCTCACTACCATCGACGTCCGGCCATTAACCCTGAGCTGAGCGTGGAATCACCAAACACAGCCGCAGGTCGCGCTGTGAACACAATGTGTTTTTGACTTCATTTCTCGCTGTAACTGTAATAACAGTGTATTTTTATGTTTCCTGTATTCTGACACAATATTACAGCACTTAAAGAACTCACGAGGGGTGGGAAAAAATTAGATTAGACCAAACTCTATATAAGGACTTTTTAGGATTTTTTATTTATATTTCACAGACCCAAAGCACTTTCCAATGTTCAGAGTCAGATATTGTTCCAATCCTTCCACACACGGTGATGACAGAAGTGAGTCCAGAACACACTGGACCATCAAAGCCTCTGACCCAACACCATCATTCACTCTCTCATTTACATTCAGACCTATTGTGCATGTTTTTAGTAGTAGGGGAAACCGGAGCACCCGGAGGAAACCTACGCAGACACGGGGAGAACATGCAAACTCCACTCAGAAAGGCCCTGTTCCGACCGGGATTCGGACCCAGGACCTTCTTGCTGAGAAACGAGTGTGTTAACCACTCAGCCACCGTGCTATGAGTACATATAAATGTCACTTTCTCTGCAACAGCCTCTCTTCCTCTCTGTTCCCTCTCTCCTCCTCCTCTCTCCCCTCCTCTCACTCCTCCTCTCCTCCTCTCTCCTCCTCTCTGTCTCCTCCTCTCTCCTCCTCCTCCTCTCCTCCTCCCTCCTCCTCCTCCCTCTCTCCCCTCCTCTCACTCCTCCTCTCCTCCTCTCTCTCCTCCTCCTCTCTCCCCTCCTCTCCTCCTCTCTCCTCCTCCTCCTCTCTCCTCCTCTCTCTCTCCTCCTCTCACTCCTCCTCTCTCTCTCCTCCTCTCACTCCTCCTCTCCTCCTCTCTCTCTCTCTCCTCCTCCTCTCTCCTCTCCTCCTCTCTCCCCTCCTCTCCTCCTCTCTCCTCCTCCTCCTCCCTCTCTCCTCCTCCCCCCTCTCCTCCTCCCTCCTCCTCCTCCTCCTCTCTCCCCTCCTTTCACTCCTCCTCTCCTCCTCTCTCTCTCCTCCTCTTCTCTCCCCTCCCTCCTCCCTCCCTCCTCCTCCTCTCTCTCCTCCTCCTCCTCTCTCCCCTCCTCTCCTCCTCTCTCCTTCTCCTCCTCTCTCCCCTCCTCTCTCTCTCCTCCTCCTCCTCTCTCCCCTCCTCTCCTCCTCCTCCTCTCTCCTCCTCCTCTCTCCCCTCCTCTCCTCCTCCCTCCTCCTCTCTCCCCTCCTCTCACTCCTCCTCTCCTCCTCTCTCTCTCCTCCTCCTCTCTCCCCTCCTCTCCTCCTCCTCTCTCCCCTCCTCTCACTCCTCCTCTCCTCCTCTCTCTCTCCTCCTCCTCTCTCCCCTCCTCTCACTCCTCCTCTCCTCCTCTCTCTCTCCTCCTCCTCTCTCACCTCCTCTCCTCCTCCTCTCTCCCCTCCTCTCACTCCTCCTCTCCTCCTCTCTCTCTCCTCCTCCTCTCTCCCCTCCTCTCCTCCTCCCTCCTCCTCCTCTCTCTCCTCCTCCTCCTCTCTCCCCTCCTCTCCTCCTCTCTCCTCCTCCTCTCTCCTCCTCCTCCTCTCTCCCCTCCTCTCTCTCTCCTCCTCCTCCTCTCTCCCCTCCTCTCCTCCTCTCTCCTCCTCCTCCTCTCCCTCCTCTCCTCCTCCTCCTCTCTCCCCTCCTCTCCTCCTCCCTCCTCCTCTCTCCCCTCCTCTCACTCCTCCTCTCTCTCTCCTCCTCCTCTCTCCCCCTCCTCTCCTCCTCCTCTCTCCCCTCCTCTCCTCCTCCTCTCTCTCCTCCTCCTCTCTCACCTCCTCTCCTCCTCCTCTCTCCCCTCCTCTCACTCCTCCTCTCTCTCCTCCTCCTCTCCTCCTCTCTCCTCCTCCTCCTCTCTCCTCCCTCCTCTCACTCCTCCTCTCCTCCTCCTCTCTCTCTCTCCTCCTCCTCTCTCCCTCCTCTCTCTCCTCCTCCTCTCTCTCTCCTCCTCCTCTCTCCTCCTCCTCCTCTCACTCCTCCTCTCTCTCTCTCCTCCTCCTCTCTCCTCCTCCTCCTCTCTCTCCCCTCTCTCTCCTCCTCTCTCTCCTCCTCCTCTCCTCCTCTCTCTCTCCTCCTCCTCTCTCTCCTCCTCCTCCTCCTCCTCCTCTCTCCTCCTCTCTCTCTCCTCCTCCTCTCTCCTCCTCCTCCTCTCTCCCCTCCTCTCACTCCTCCTCTCCTCCTCTCTCTCTCCTCCTCCTCTCTCTCCTCCTCCTCTCTCCTCCTCCTCTCTCCTCCTCTCTCTCCTCCTCCTCTCTCCTCCTCCTCCTCTCTCTCTCCTCCTCCTCTGCAGTGCCACAGCTGGAGGAGACCACCCACAGATCTGACACACTCATATTTCTGGCCTCTTGACACCGGGGGCCATAAAACACAGGTCCGTGGTTCAGGAGGGCCCCTCCCACACCTCTCCACATGGGACCAGGGTGCATGATGGGAAGTGAGATGGAGGTGAGTCAAGTTACGTGCAAAGTTAGTCAGAGAAAAACACTTTTCAGGTTTGGCTTCAATTTAAGACTCAGGTTTTTAACATCAGGAAAGGACCATGTTATTTTACTCTCATTATCCCCTGGTTCTTACCATGTGTAATCTCTGGTCCATGGTCATTTCCTACATGTACGTCTGGTCTTACCATGTGTAAACTCTGGACCACGGTCATTTCCTACATGTAGGAAATGGAGGCGGGTGTTGTAGGTCGGTGTCGGTGACGTCAAGAGTTTGTGCTGAATTTCATACTAAGGTCTGGATTGTCTCCATTGACTCCGTTAACAGGTGGGAGGGGCTAACTCCTTTTGCAGATTGAAAACATTGGATCTGAGTTTACTGTGACGTATGTAATGAGCCCGAGTGAGTGAGGCATTTAGCATTTAGCCTAGCTTTAGCATGTAGCCTAGCTTTAGCATTAGCCTAGCTTTATCCATCTCCTTTGCCACTAACGGAGCCGTGGGGAGTAGAACCACAACATCTTTGCTTCAATGACATTTACTAAACATTCCTCTTGCTCCAGCTTCAGTTTCTTGATATTTGGATTGAACCAGAACAGATTATTTTACTATCACATTCTCCGACAAACTACAACCAGCAAATTGTAGTTTTGCACCAGGGTCTCTCTGCACCAGGGTCTCTTTTTTTCCTACGGCGCATGTTTTGGGGGTGGGGGAGAAACAAAGTCCACACAGAATGGACTGAGATTGAACCCAGCACCTTCTCCTAAATGTGGAAAATTCATTCTGTCTTCTTATGTTTACGGCTTTTTAGGTTCTTCTAATAAGACAATTAAAGCAAAAAAAACAAGTACTGCTTAAATTACTCTGATGAAGGCGGAAGTGTACCGCCGAAACATGTCAGGTATTTAAGCAGTACTAGTTTTTTCTGCTTTAATTGTCTTATTAGAACAACCTAAAAAGCAGCACCTTCTCCAACCCACTCAGTCCACTCAGTAGAATACTAAATCATAAAAAAACAATAACACCAAGTCCCCATCCTCAATAGTTTTGACGATGTTCCTCGCTCATTTTGCTAATCACTAATGAATCAATAATGAAAAACATAACTTTTGATTCTTGAACAAAACGATGGAGTCCGGCGGCCTCTCTCTCTTTCTCAGTCTCGTTTCTTTGACCTGAGTTTCTTTGTTCCATTCCCGTCTGTTTTCTGTCAGCTCTGTCCTTTGCCTTCCTCGTCTCACGGCGTCTGCAGCGAGCGCCTCTGACCGACTGCTCCGAGACGCTCAAATGTCAGGCCCTCGACAATAGAAGGTGGACTCGGTCGAAGGGAAACTCTGAGGTATAAATAAGTCCGTGAAAGGTTGGTGCTGACGTGTCCCACTGAGGGTTCGAGGCTGTGGACCGTGGGCACTGACCCCAACCCCCTCTGTACAGGAGGAAATGTGGACATGTTCTAATCTCTTCCTTAATCGTTTTTGTGTTTGTTTGTTTTCTTGCACGATCGGGCAAAGAGTTGAGAGGTGAAAGTGTGGCCTATTTGTTTAGTTCAGCTTCATCCCAGAGGAAATGTCGCCGTGGATTCTGGGTAAAACGGCGTATTGAGTGAGGGCTGTTTGTGTCGTGTCCTCAGGTGCTTTTAATAACACGGCCTCAGAATAATATTTGTCTTTCTCTTCCTGCTCTGTGTTCAGTCCAGAGCCACAACCAGGGAAAGTTATTCTGGTGTAAACAAGACGGCATTTCCTCTGGGATTGAAACGTTTTCTGATCTGTTTGAAAATATTACAGAAAAGTATTTCCTCCCAGTTCAGGATGAGGCAGAAAAGTAACGTTTGTATAAAGTTTGACCTGGACAATTTTCTCTAAAACGTTGAAAATAAATCGTAAAAAATTAATTGGAATCTGTTTGAGACTTTGGAGTCCCCACGTGACTCTTTTGGAAACTTTAAAAAAAATATTATTATTATAAAAGGTTCTTACAAAACACAAAGTGAGTAAACACAAAACAAAGCATATGTGTAAATACAAGTCCAGTACCTCTTTGTGAAGCTGGCACTCTGTAGTTTTGGCCTCGTTTACTTTGATTATAAGTGGAAACAACCAAATTGGAAAGTCTGTCTATCCAAGCAGAGGGCGAGGGAGGGGTTAATGCAGAGTCAGATTTATGGCCCCGTGATAAAGGTATAGATCCAGGCAGAATACTTCACTTTTCTGTCAATTCTATGAAATG